CCAGGCCGAACATTTTTATACGGTTGAAAAAGTACCAAATATACTTTCGGCGTGAAGAGACAACCGAGAGCTACTGACGCAGAGATGTTGATGCACATGCACATGCTTGCTATTTGTACCTGTAAGTTTATATTGACAAGGATTAATTACAATGAACATTTGCTAATTAAACTAACGACCGAATTATACAAATGAACAACATGAATAAATATTAATATATTGTACATTAAATGCAATCCATTTTTGTATTCTCTTGCTGCATGCCTATAAAAGATTTCTCTAATTTATCTTACGTTTTTTGAATATATGTTACGTGTTGCACGTTAGATTATCTTGAAACAACGAATCAAATTTGAGAATCGTGTCGAATTACCATTAATTAGCTTGATACGCATAATCGCAAGATAATACGTGTCTTTTGTAATTATAGATACCGACCTTATAGTCATTGTTTGAGCCAAAGTAGATGGGTACGAAAGCTAACCATACAATGCACGTTGAATACATTGTAAAACCAATGTACTTTGCTTCGTTGAAATTCTCCGGTATCTTACGTGTTTTGAACGCGTACAGTGTGCACATGAGTATTAGGAACATGTTGTAGACGAGAGACATCATTAAGGAGAACGTGGAAACACGGCATGTGAGTACTGCTGACAATGGATATGGATGAATTTCCGTGGTATCCGGTGGTTCAATGATTAGCCAGACGATAACACCAACTAATTGCACTGCAGTGATCCCTATAAAAACGGGAATTACATAATACGATATCAAGATCGGCAGTTTATCGTGCAGACTATAATAAAAAGATTGTAACGACGACTGAATCGTACTTAGAGTACGTAGTAAAAAGATATTCAATAATTCGTAACAAAATTAGAAGTAACAACACTTTGATATGATGTCTTGCTTAGTTATTAATATTGCTATATTTTTCACTTGATTGATACGAACGAGACTTCAAAATCGTAGCTGATAGAATTGGAAATTTAACGCGAAACCATCGCACGAGTGATCGATATTTTAGTAGGAAGGCAAAAGCTTTGAAACCATTAATGCGCAGGCATGCCTTTGAAAATTGTAAACTCACCGATAGCGATTACAACTTGACTCTTCGGGGATGTGTAAGAAGGTCTCTTTATACTTTTTGTTCCTTGATTGAAGATGCGCGATATCCGATTCGTCTTAGTTAGTATCGCGCTGTAACAAATGCTCAAGCACAAGCCGAGGCCGATTCTCAAATACGTGCAGTTCCATGTAGTTGGCTTGCTTAATATCACGAAACTCATACCATAACACGATAGAATCCCTACTAACAATACGTAACACAATTCGCGTCCAGATGCCATAATTACTGGTGTACGGTTGAAGCTGAAATAAGGATTAGCCAATTAATATTAATAAAAATGGACAGAGAAACAAAATTCTACATATGCGTGTAAACGTACCGAACGAAGACAACAGTTGTAAATAGAGTGCTGAGTATGCCAATGGATGCAAATATTAATGGTACCAATGCCCATGGACTGGTCCATGGTATAACTTCCGCTGTTAGTTTCATGCAACTTGTCATTGTCTCGTCCGGTGCATATCCTGGACCGCAGCTGCGACAAGTGTCGTTGAAAACGTACGCGTCTTCGCGACATGCCACACAGCTCCAACAACATGCTTCCTGAAAGTATTATTGTTACATTAAAGGATATTGAAAGATAGGAAAATTCTTGGAACATCTATTACTAGAATGCGGATTTTTATGGATCAGAGAGATAGAAATTTATTTCATTCATTAAAAATTATAATAAGTAGGTATTTCATTTTAGATACTTTATATACATTTATGCATCCTTAAGTTTTCTACAAAAATACATAAAAATCAGATTACTTAATATCTTTATTTTAATACGGTGAAACTTCATTTATTTTGAATTTATCGAGAGGCAAGAAGTTTATATAGCAAAGAGTTCACCAATTTTCGCCACCATCTGTTATTTTTCATTCGCAAGTTACCGTAAGTGGACTCAATTAATCAAAGTTCAGTTAATAAAATTTCGTTCCAATAAATGGAGTTCTACGGTAATTAAAATATCTGCACTTTCCACGTATAACGTTCAAATTCGAACGAAAATATTTTACTCCAGATTTTTTTCAGCTTATTTTTGTATGCGAACAATTTTCTGTTCGCCTTGTTTTATGACACTCAAACGAAGAGTTTAATAGTTGATAAACGGCAATGGTAATAACTAGTGCGAATAAAGACTTAAGAAATAAAAGATTTAAAGTACGAAGAATACTGTCCTAGGAAAAGAGGAGAAACGGGAACATGCAATTACGTAAGAGGATAAAATTAGGACATGTAATTAAATTCTTGTACAACTTGAAGTAGAAAATTACGAAAAATTCAGTACGTATAAAACAAATTATATTTAAAGTAACAGCATATTTTTAGCTTATACTCGTGTTATTTAAAGGTGATAAAATGTTGCAACAGTTTACACGTAATATTTTATTAAGTATAATTTAACTATAACTAACAACTAGAGTGTAAATATAATTATACTCTACAATAGAAATATGCAAATATAAATAAAGTTAAATACTCTTTATACATGTAAGATAATCTTTAGTGATGTTTAAAAGCAGATGAAAAAATATTGAATTGAATATATTTACCTGAAAATTGCGTACATGACCTAGGGGACAATTGTCGCTGCATAAACTTCGAGGGATATGCATTTCTCCAGGTCCTGCTGTCCATCTCGTCATGTTAATATTAAGATCCAACCTATGAATAAAAGTTGTGAAATATAACTAATAAAAAATAAGTAATATTTATCTTCATGTACTTTATTACTGAATGAAATCTATCTGATAATTTATCATGATCGTGATAGACTTTTCAAAATTTCGTAAAGATGTTGACTCTTTAAAAATGTTAAGAACACTTGTTATAAAATTTACAATATAGTACTATATTTGATGACGTGTTCGGATTACAATGTGAGAAAAATTTTTCTAATCATAATGGTTTCACTTACTCCTCTCTCCATGAGCCAATAAGCACATAATCAAAACGGCCATCTTCTTTCTTTTGATATTGATAGATATTGTAAAATCCATACGCATCGCCATCAGATTTAAATTTAATTTCAGTACCCTGACGACCTAAATGTTATATGAACAAAGTACGAATTAATTGTTTTAATCAAACTTTAAAATTAAAATCGACGTAATGTCTTTTTCTATCCATTGTTGAATTAAGAAATAATTAAATTATAATCAATAATTTTCATAGTCTCGGATTTTTACATATTCCTTTATGAAAAACAAAAATTGTAAAAAAGCTTTAATATTTCTCTTCATTTTGTTTTTTCTGAAATAACGATTCATCCGATTCGAGTGTTGTTCATTTTCATTTAATCACTCTGGCCATTTTATCGGCCTGATAATTAGGAGAAACGATATAATCGGTATCACAAAGTCTTTTTCAATCGATTTAACAGAACGTTTCATTTTATATGTTCTAATAAGAATGAAGATAAAAGAACAGTAAATAAATTGATCTATAAAATATTTTCAAGTGTAAATTAAGTAATCGATAATTATACAGTCTTGGTCAATTTTAAATTGATTTTAAATTGAGACTATACCACAGTTGTAATTAATCGTAAAAATGCTGTAATCAAAGATTTTATAGACGACTGTAAAGGCAATGGACGACTTACCGATGAAACTAACATTTCGAATGTGCTGAAGAAGTTGCTGACCATCTGGTGCTGGACGAAGGTCTTCGCACAAATGATGACTAGTATTGGCAATATTCATGCATTCTTCGTTTATCAAGTTATGAACACCGTATGCCATCGCATAAACTGCATCAACTAAAACCAATTATACGTAATATTATAATATTTTTACTAATTTTGAATTTTTTCGTTACAGGAGTTCATTCTAAGAGATAAGATAAAAGGAACAATTAGGAGATTAAAAAGGAAATCGTTTTTTCAAAAAAAATCCTTTAAAATCTGTTATATACATACAACAAAATTTCTCGAACTTACAAAAGATTTTAAGTCAAAATTTTATTAATTTAATTTTTATTACCGACAAATGGCACCAATCCTTCTTGCTCGTAATCAATCAACTCCTCCTCGCCGGTGCAGGCTGTCGTGGCAACGGATAAATTTGTACCGAAACTGCATTTATGATGCTGGGACCAAAATTCTCGGAACCAAACATTCCGACAATTCACTATTTTCCCGGGTAAGTTTTTATGCGGCACATTATCCTCAGTTTGGCCGTCGCATTCGTTGTCCATTCTTGGTCGAAGATTTAAATAATACTCGTCGAAACCTAAAAACAATACTTGTTTTAAAGCACTATATGCAATATATATATATATATTCTTTTTATTCAGAATTCTCGATTTTTTCTAGAAAACGTGTCTTATTAATTTTCTGAAAATTCTCACTCTGTGTTTAAAGAGTAAACTTGATATATTACGCAGCTAATTGAAATCCAGTTCTACGTCGTGTGGGCCACGACGGTGTAACATACGTCTACTGTTAGGTCTAATATTCGAAGTTCATCGAGGATAAGTGAAGCTTTCAGTGCGCATGTCTAACAAAGCAAATAGGAGGAAAGAAAGAAGGCGGATGCACCGACCTTCCATGCTACGAACTCGCACAAGTAATTAATATCTTTGGGTTAGGATACTTTCCTTTGATTCTGCTCATTAACCTAATTCGTTACTATCGCGTTACTATTCGTTTCGCTTGACAATTACATAATTGAAGGTACACATCTTGTCTTGAGGATCCGTTCGCAATTACGTTTGTTTCAATTATGTATCTATGTATTTTTCTCCTATTCGTTTCTGCTTAGAGTATGAAGGGTTTGACACAAACTGAAGCTTCTCGCAATTACATGATCATAATTTTTGTGCTCCATTTACATCTATCTCCTCAAAGCACGCGAACATAGTATCCCCTCTTTTATTCCCTCAATGTAGTTCTTGTATAAAATTCGTAAAAGCTTTGAAAACACTTTCAATGAGATCAAAACGACGAGTATTTTTGGCGAAGGGATTATAATCAGCTTACCCTCGAGGGATGTTCTATAAGGCAAGATCGTGATTGCACTTTCCGCCGCGAATTCTTGATCTCTCACTGGATATACTTTAGCACCCCATGAATCACTGCCTATCCACATGAAATGGCCTGTACGATTGGCTCTAACACTTGCCTGCAGAAGTTTCCTGCGAATAATCAATTGATTTCCTTTCGAATGAGAAACGAGAGAGAATTGTTATTCAACGGGAGAGAATTGCGGCGAGTCACATATTTTGAATGCATAATTCCATTTGAATTGATATTTCACTTTTCCCTCATTTCTAATCACTACATCAAGTATTACAAACATTAAATTCGTACATTCATTACAAAAATACGAATTGCACCAAGAATGTCACATTTTGTTCTAGATAAATGATACAATTTACAAACTTCCGCGCATTGTCAAAACAATGTTAAAAGTTCGGAATAATATAAACGAGGGAAGCAACGCGAACTGTGAGAAATAGTTGAAATGTTGGTAGACGACAAACTCTGCAAATTGTTGTATACATATGTTGCTCTAACAGCATTGAGTGAACTCACGACACATTTAATAAAAGACACGGTTGACGTTAGACCAGCTAATAGTAGCGAAAAGAAGTGATTAATGACCTGCTTGGAAATTGACGTGCAAAAACAGTCGAGTTGGGTAAGGAGAGTAAAAAGCTGAGATTTTTACCTTATGTTATCTTCATCGACGAATAATACCACACCTCTGGCATTGTGTTTCGAGCTGAGTCGTTCGACAATTTTATCGAAATCTTCGGTTTTCGCGTTCCTCAGGATCTTCTCGCTCACTGCTACGCAGACACCGTATTCCGTCGACAGTGAGATAAAACTAGCAATGCCCTGTTAAAACAAACAACAGATAATTGAGCAACAGACAAATCGAGTCGCAAGATTGGATCTTCATTCAGCTGTCAGAACGGTGCCATTGCGTTTAAAGATATTTTCACAAAGGGATCTTTTCATTGTTAGCCGCAAGTGCTGTTAAAGCAGCTTGATTTATGGTGAGAACTTTCGACAAGTCCATTGTTGAGAATGCATTAATTAAAACTTTTATAATCGACCATAAAAGCCGGACATTAGATTATGAAGGTAGCTCGTAGCTCAAGGAAACGTATTAAAGATAACAGGGTAAGTAATAAAAAAAAATTTACACAGTAAAAATTCTTCATAATTTAGAGCTGTTAGTTTGCCACATTGTATATATACAATGGATGATACCAAGGGACAGTTTATTAAGTTAGCTCAACGTACGAATGTTATGTTGATTAATAGACTGGGGATTTTTATTAAAATGCAGATGATATGAAGAAGATACACATAGTGCATCTCAAGTATCATATTTAACGGTCGAACAAATTTCTTTTAAGTTCAACTCGTACAAATGTCCAGTAAACCTACTGATTCTCGTAGGAGAGACTTACAGAAATTAAATTTATATAAGAATGAAATGCATAAAATGCAAGTAGTTTTATCCTGATGAGAGCTATAAGCGTTTATAAATGTACAGTACATAAAGTAGACTGTTCCAAGCCATTATCCTGGAGGAAATGCAAGTGAGGATGAGAATAATCAGAGAGAGAGAGAGAGAGAGAGAGAGAGAGAGAAATGGAATTGTTGATACGCATGAAGAATGTACAGATATAATTACCTTCTCTCCGTAATCACCTTCAACTGCAACCGTAGACACGTATTTCCAACCGAGTTGATGAATGATTTCCACCATGGCCTGAGCTTGGAAATTATCTGGCGGCACCACTCTGCTAAAATATTCGAAGCGACTTTTATCCGACAGTTCTGTGCTCGTCGATGCGTAGCTTATTTGCGGTATCTGCAATCGATGTAATAATCTCTCTTTACATATCCCCTTGAAGTTTTTCTGTTTAACTTTCAGGAAGGAACAGAGATATTTGAAATAGTAATGAAATTCGTTTCTTCCCACACAGAAGACGCAGCAAGTGACTCCGATAGTGAGTTTGAAAGAGTGAATTTCCTACGTCAATTACAAAATTGAATTTCATAAGAATTTTTTAATAAATTTTAATTTTTTTTAGCATAAAGGTATAAAAATTTTTTGTGCATTGTGCAG